CCTCCCCTCCTTAGGATGGGCCTGCTCCAGGCTGGGCAGATCTGGAGAAGAGCTGAGCCGCACCAGTGCACGGACACACAGACAACAGCTAACCCTACACCGCGATCCGGGGCGCTCGCAGTCTGGCCCGGAGTGGCGGCTGCAGTGCCGTAGGCACCAGCGGTGGCAGCCTGTTCTGGGTGACACGTGCTGCTCTTCTTCCACAATGTCATTTTCTTGACCTCCTTACCCACACGCCACCCCCACAGAAATAGAATTAAGTGGTAAGCATTTTTCCCATGCATACATTGTATCTCATTTTTTCTGTTTTATTCTAATCCGATGCACTGATGGTTTCATCCGTCCCATCTCCTGTTGCAGCTACACTATGGCGTGCAGGGAGAAGGCCTTCCTGACGCTCCAGTGAGAGAGGGGCCCACCCATGTTTCCTTCCACTGTCTTTATGATGCTGAGTTTACACTCCTCCTCTCATTCGTTCCAAGTTCATTTTTGCTTAAACTCAATTATCTTTGTCTAAATGTCTATCCAGTTAGCCAAGAACAGTTAAGAAGATGGAAACTAACCCAAAATGCAAACATCTACTTTCCCAGGTACCTGAGGTGCCATTTTCATGGTCTCCCAATCCAGTAAGCACTTGGACCTATTTCTAGAGGCTTCCATCCTGTTCCACTGTGTGGTCCATTTACCCGTGTTCATTCCCTTTTCAGTTTCAGAGGTTTGAGATGCAGCAGTGCCCACACAAGCTGGTTCCTTGTAACAGCTTTTCTTCAGTTCGCCCTTGCTCTTTTATTCAAAACACTTCCATCCACGTCTCCAGCTCTATAGGGAACCATGCTGGCATTTCTGTTGAGATGTTATTACTGAGTATTGCATATTTGTGATGCTGAGTCATCTTAACCAATAGCAAATGGCATCCTTCCATTACAAGCCTGCATCCTTGTCCTTCCTGGTGTTTCAACGTTTTTCTAATGTAGATTTTGCACAGCTGTTTTACACCGTTGTCGTTATTATAACCTCTGCTGCCTTTACAAATGCTGCTTTTCTAGCCGTAGTCTGGGAAGCTTTCGAGGCTTGTGCATAGGCAGGGTATTGACTGCTGTGTGTTCCTTCTATTTCCTGCTTCCTTACTGACTGGCTACAGCTTCACTCGGGGCTGGTTTTGGCTCTCTGCTTTTTTGGCTGCACTCACACATTGGTGAGGAGAGCTCATGTGCTCCCCCGTTCTGCTCGGACATGTCTAGCTGGTTTTCTCCATCGAGACGCGCTCCGCTAACACTGGAAGCGCACCCTTACATGGCAGAGGTGATGCCGCACTGCACTGCTGGGTTTACGTCTCCCAGTACCTCTGTGAGGGGTGAGGCTGTGTGAGAAGTCCCACCAAGGCTTCTCAGACGGATGGGGTTTTGGTTTTGTTTTTTAATTAAGAATTGGTGCTGACTTTTGACAGAAGCTTGCATTCTCAAATGATGAGTGGAAGGCCGTTCTTCAATCTGGTACTTGATGACACACTGCGTTAATACGTCGTCTAAACCTACACCACATGCAGACGTCATTTTGAAATCAGGGTTAGGTACCATCCTTCTGCTGCATCCATAAAAATGCTGGGGAAGCATTTCTTCACATTTACGCTCTGCAACAATGTCTGTGCCTTAGAATCGTCTGGTCTCGTGGAGCAATCCTTCAGGATGCTGTCCGGTTCTCTTCCTCAGTCTCTTCCTCAGAAATCGTCCTGTTGGAGTTTTCTGTCTCTAATGGTCATTTCAGTGAATGAGCTCCTTTTGGAAAACTATTCGTTCCATCCAGTATTTCTACATTATTTGAAAGAGAGATTTTCAGAGAACATTGTTCTTTTTCTGTTGTGTTTTCCCTAGAAGTTTCTTAGCAAGTAAACTTAGGATTACTCTCCTTTTAATTTGCATATGTATTTATTTTAAAATTTTGAAGGAAAAGAGAAAAGAGGGAGAGAGAGAAGGAAATGGAGAGGGAGGGAGGGAGGGAGGGAGGGAGACAGAGAGACAGAGAGAGAGAGAGAATGATGCTTTCATTCACTTCCCAAATGGCCAAAGAGCCAGGGCTGGGCTAGGGACTTAGCCAGGAGCTAGGAACTTAATCCGGATCTCCTACACGGATGGCAGAGACTTGGTCCATCCTTGGACCATCACCGGCTGCCTCCCAGGGTGTACATCAGTAGGAAGCTGGAACAGGAAGCAGTCAGAACCTGAACCCAGGCACTTTAATATGGGGGCAGGTGCCTCAAGCTGTGTCTTAACCTCCATGCCAAATGCACACTCCTTTAAACAGATTAGGTAATAGGTGTGGTTTCTTTTTAAAGAGAAATCAGATTTATTAAATAAATGTTCATTGCTTTCAATCTCATTGACTTCAGCGTTAATATTCATTATTTATTTTCCTGTACATTTTTGCTATTTTCCTACCTTTTGAGTTACAACTTTCATTTTATAAATTTGTCCATTTATTCTGATATGTGCTTAAGGCCATGGTCACAGCTTTAATTGTCACTTGCCATCGCTGGAATTTTTCATCACCATTCCCCAGGAGTTCTGCATTATGCTCTATATTGCTCCTTTTACCCAAGATTTATTCATTTACTTATCTGAGAGGCAGAGATCCCGCGACAGAGATAAATCTCCTATCCGCTGGTCCGGTGTACCAGTATCTGCAATACCCGGGGTGGGGCCAGGCTGAAGCCAGGAGCACGGAACTCACTCCAGGTCTCTCCTGCGGTGGCAGGAATCCAATCACCTGAACCATTACCACTGCTTCCCAGTGTCCTTGAGAGCAGGAAGCTGGAGTCAGGAGCTGGAGCCGGGAGTTGAACTCAGGCACTCTGACGTGGGAAGCAGGCGTCTGAACTGCTGCCTTACCCTCTCGGCTCAGCGCCCACTCCTCCAGCGTCATTTTAGAAGCCTTTTGCTTGTTTGTTCTTCAGTTTTGGCAGTACTTTTTACTCACTGCATCATGGGAGTATTATTTGTAGCATGTCTATGTATAACCTAGTGATATACTCTGGGTGACAACAGGGTTTGCGTACCTGATCTGCCTTAGACTGTAGAAAGTATTAAAATCCATTGGTGTTATTTCTTCCTGCATCTCCTTTCTTGACAAAGACAGCCATTCTGTTATTTGGTGCATATGCACTTATATTTGTAATATCTTCAACGTGAATTGTGTCTTTTGGCAATAAAAAGTGTCCTTGTCACATTATTGCTTTTTGGCTTGCATTGTATTTTGGTTATTGTTACACACACACACACACTCCACACTCATATACACACAATTACTTTGTTATTCAAGTTGAAATTCATTCTCTCCTCATAGTGATTAAAACGCATTTACATTTATGGATGGGAATGTTTTTCTCGATTTTGTCATAATATTTGCTATAACTACAAGCATTTTATTATTTTAACTCTTCTTTCTCTAGTGCAAGGCTTATTTACGCCTCCCGTTTGTCTGGGCTTTGAGGAAAGTCTGAATTTAGTTTGGATGGTCACCTTCGCCCTTACACCTCCCCGGAAGGCTTCACCCTGTTTCCTGTGGTAATGTCCATCCGCGCTGTCGGATGTCAGCATCATCCCGGACTCCCACTGCTTCCTCAACAGTGACAACTGAGGAGTGTCTTCTCCTCTCCTTCGGGTTTCAGGCGCATTGCTCTAGGATGCCATGGCACCGCCGGCTTCCAGTCCTGCTGGCACAGGCGATGCGCTGCTTCTGATGCCCCCACAGCCGCCATTCAATGGAAGCAGCTCTCCCACAGGGCGTCAGCACGGAAGTCTTATCTTTTTGTCTTGAAGTCCCAGGGACATGTTTATCTTGAACATGTAATCGTCTGAGGAGCATACATCTGTCAGGTCATTCTGGGCATGTGTCCAGGCATGCACCCCGCCATGGTCCTCAGTGTGAACATTTTTGTCTTATTTCTGGGATGTTTTCTTCCATTGTGGTTATGGAAATTAACCTGGCTCTGTTGCCTGATTTTTCTTCTTCAGTTCTTGCCCATTTTAACCACTTTCCCTTTCACACGACTTTACAGTCTATTTTGCTTGGCTGCTTTTCTCTTTCTTCATTATCTCTTTTTAATTTATTTGAATTTATTCATCCTTATTATCTTGCAAGTTACTTATCAATTTGGGGTGCTTTTATATTTCTTTTTTATTTCCTGAGTTTAATCAGCAATTCTTTTTTTATTTATTCATTTTTTTTAATTTTTGAAGATTTTTAATTCATTAAAAATTTTATATTTTCATTTTATCTGAAAAGTAGAGAGACAGAGGCAGACAGACATGGACAAATCTTCACGCCCCAAATGCCTGCAGCAGCCAAGACTGGGCCAGGCCAAAGCCAAGAGCCTGGAGCTCCACCTGGATCTCTCCCCGGTGACAGGGACACAGCACTTGAGCCGTCACCTGCTCCCTCCCTGCCCATTAGCAGGGAGCTGGGTGCGAATCAAACACTCCTATAGAGGATCCAGGCATCCAAGCTGGGCCTCAACTGCTGTGCCACCCCTCCCCCCCCCCCTCCTAATTCCTTTATTTTTAATTGCAGAACGTTTTGGGGGAACATTTAACTGGGTCTGGAGCTGCTGAATCACTGGGGAGGAGACAGTCAAGTGTGTTCAAGTCCAGGGTTTCCGGCTACAGGGGTCTCAGCGTCCCTGTTCTAGAAGCCCGCTGCCCTGCTGCGGGTGGGGGTGCGGGGTGAGCACAGGGTCTCTGCCAGGGTTGGCCCCCCGCTGCCATGGGGGAGGCTGGGCTTCTGTGCGGTCCGCGCTGCTTCTCCCGCCCTGCAGCTGCCTCTCCCCACGAGGACCCCAGAGGCAGCGCCGGCCTCCGTCCCCCAGCGAACGGCGCAGCGGGGCCCTCCTCGGTCACTTACTGCCTGCGCACTGGGGAGACTCCCGGCACTCTCTGCCCTCCCCTGCCTCTCCTCCCTTCCGGGGAAGGTGTTCTTTCCTCCCAACCCGCAGAGGCTCCCCAGGCACTCCGAGCAGTCAGCCATCTCTGCCAAGAGTCACTGGGCGCGTTCTCTCCCGGCGACACCGCCACTTCCGGCCTGTGGCGCGGTCACTTCCGGCGGGCCGTGACGTCACTTCCGGCGGGCCGTGACGTCACTTCCTGTCGGCCATGGCGTCGCTCCCTGCTCTGAGGAGGTGCGTTCTGAGTCAGTGACTAAGACTCGCGGGGGTCCTGCTCGGGCCCGGCGTGGCCGAGAAAGGTGTCGCGAAGCAGAACCCAGAACGACGGGAGGGACACCCTCTCTGGAGGCTGTGGTGTGCGCGTGGCCTCCCGCACCTGGCGGTGGGCGGCGTTGCCGGCGGGGCTGAGGCGATGGCGGAAACGTGCGGTTCGGACAGCGATGGCCGGTGCCCGGCGACGCCTCCCCTGTGCTCCCGCCGAGGCCGCGGCCCACGTCGTTGTCGGTGTCCCCGCGTGCCAGCCTCCCTCACGTGGGCGCCCTGGCGTCGGTGCGAGCGGCTCCCCCGGGTCTCGCCGAGCGCGTGCGCCTGACGCGGTGACGCTCGCCCATGTAGACCCGGCTCCTGCCGCGAGGTGGGGAAGAGCCCGCCCGCACCGCGGTCTCCGGGGCCGGCCCGTCCTCCATGTCCCCCACCGCGGTCTCCGGGGCCGGCCTGTCCCCCACCGCGGTCTCCGGGGCCGGCGCGTCCTCCATGTCCCCCACCGCGGCCTCCCGGGGCCGGCCCGTCCTCCATGTCCCCCACCGCAGTCTCCCGGGGCCGGCCCATCCTCCATGTCCCCCACCGCGGTCTCCCGGGGTCGGTCTGTCCTCCACGTCCCCCACCGCAGTCTCCGGGGCCGGCCCGTCCTCCACATCCCCCACTCCCGGGGCCGGCCCGTCCTCCATGTCCCCCACCGCGGTCTCCCGGGGTTGGTCTGTCCTCCATTGTCCACCGCGGTCTCCGGGGCCGGCCCGTCCTCCATTGTCCACCGCGGTCTCCTGGAGCCGGCCCGTCCTCCATGTCCCCCACTGCGGTCTCCTGGAGCCGGTCCGTCCTCCATGTGCCCCCTCGCGGTCTCCTTGTTCGTCCCCTGGTCCCACGTGCGGGCACTGGCTCCTCCCTGTTCCGAGTGGATTTCCCCGGGCTCTGCCGGCTGCCCCTCTCTGGCCAGTGTGACTTGGGTGCTGCCTCCCAGACCGGCCTTTCTTTGCTTCTTCCGTGGTTTCTGCCGTTTCATGGCTTCCTGTGCGTTAGGGCACGAGTTGCCCAGTCCCTGCCTGTTCTAGCCTGGGAGCCCCTGAGGGCAATGCACAGGTCCCCTCCCTGTCGGGCCGGCGCCAGGGGCGGTCACCGCCTGGCTAGCAGTGGGGGGATGATTGCATGCAGGGGTGAGTTGCCGCCTCTTAGTAGCTCTGGGGAGGGAACTTAATCTCCCTGCAGTGTTTGCAGAACTGTGTGAAGATGAGCTGAAGAAGGCAGAGGACAGTCAGGTTTGTAGGACGTCACGGGTAACAGATGGCTCCATTTTAAGCTCCTTTCTGCACTGTGCAGATTCCAACTCAACCTCGATTGTTGGTGGGAAGTGTGCTGTGACATCAGTCTTGCAAACTGGGGGACACACGGGCTGAATCTGATGTCACAAACCTGCAAATAGGGCATATGTCATTGCTGGACACTGGGAGTCCCCCTTGCTTCCTAGGTCACAGCTACCAGGGTGAGCAGCCTGGACCGGGCCTGTCCAGAAGCCTGCCACACCCACGGAGGCACAGCCTCTCACCCATGCTGTGCGTCTCCACCCTGCTGTCCCTTGTGGCGCTGGGTTCACCTACAGACCTTGGAGCTCCCCCGTCCCCGGAGGATGGCCCTCTGCCCCACCCGGGCTCTCACAGGCCCCTCCTGTGCACAGAGGACCTGCTCCCTACGCTCTGCCTCCAGCTCAGCTGCTCTGCCCTCTGGGCGTTGTGGGCCCTGATGTTCTGACGATGCCCGAGACCTCTCTGGCTGTTGTTGATTTGCCTGGGGGACAGGCCTTGGGTGCTGTGCCCACCTCTCTGGTTAAGCTGAAGCTGGTCCGGCTCATGTGTGAAGTTTTGTTCCTTGTCCTGTCCTTTGCTGCTGTCCCGGGCTAAGGGGGAGGAGGAGGGGGTCGGGGGTCATGAGACCTCTCCCTGCTCCTGTTGGAGGCCAGGGCTCTGCCCTACCCTTCCCTGTCTCGTCCCCTGCAGCTTCACTGGGAGGCTCTGCTGTGAAACACGTGGGTGTCGCACTTCCAGCATTTTAGAGCAGAGGAAACACTGTTCGTCCTCTGACGTTTGCTCAGTGTGTTCAGTCCAGTGACCACGCTGCCGCCTTTTGTTGCTGCAAGTGTTGAATACTCATGATTCTGCCTGCTCACTGGATAATTATGTTACACTAATATGGTGCAAAAATAAAGGCAGTCGTTAGGCTTTTGTCCTGATCTACTTTGCAATTTTTCAGTTTGCTTCTTTGAAGAACAAAAGGAAGCTGCCACATTTGAAAGTATTATTTCATTTCCAAACCAGGAAGGACATGAGAAGCCCCTGGTGCCGGGAAACTCCTAGGGTGACAGAGGGATTTTATTCCTCCTGCTCCTTGCTTGGAAAGACTTCCGTCTTGGGATCATTTACCTACTAATAAGTGTACAGAACTCGGGGTATTTTACAAACGTGAGAAGGAAGAGAGAGAGCGAGAGCCGGTGTTAGAAGCCAGCACTTTGTTCTGGTGACTGACAACAGAGACAGCACTGCGACCTCGTCAGGCCTTGAGGGGGCCAGTCCTCTGCGATCTGCAAACCCAGTGGGTGACGTCGCCCCTCTGAGCGTCCTCCTAGGAAGTCCAGGTGCTCTGCTTTCCCGCATGCCCAGGCTGAAGCCAGCTGCTGGGTGCAGATGAGCATGGGAACCCCCAGACAGGCTGATGTGTGCTGACGTTCGGGGCACAGTGCAAGCTTTCTATGGGTGTTTGTCAGATGACTCTAAAGGGAGGCTTAGATTTTGGTGCAGAAACTCCCATGGTTTCGAGTGAGAACCTCACTGGTGATGAAGGGTAAGCCACACACACATTGTGAGTTAGACTCTGAAATGTAGTTGAAGCTGATCTATGTTTGACCATATTTGAAATTCTTAAGTGTTGAAACAACTAATGAGAAGGAAATATATGATCTGCTTGACACAGTTTACTTCTTTCTCAGAAATAGCATTCACTGCTTTTATAAGTGGTTTATTAATAAAATTCCACAGTATAATTTGAAACAGATAAGAAGAAGTGCCCCACTTAAGGCATGATAAAAAATGAAACTCTGCTCCAGTTTTCCGCTCCTTCTCGTGATCTCTGTGCTTATTGACATGAAATTCTAATCAGCGTACGGAGAAAGATGGCCTAAGTCATAAGTAAGATAATACTTGGAGCCTGTACTCAAAGCATACTTAAAAACGGCTCAATATCAATATGAGAGAACATAGCAAGTGGGGCTTCCCTGAGGAAAATCTTGGGTTCAATGCTACTTAAACACTTTCATCAATTTTCTGAACGATGGGATGGAAAACACGTTCATTAAGTGAACAAGGAAGCCGAGCTGGGAGCGGCAGATAACACCGGGGAGAATAGGAGATTTAATCATGACCATGAAATTTAACTAAATGGTCAGAAGAGGCCTGAGACGCAGCTCCGCGTGTGCCTGCTCCCCATGCAGGAGCTGGCGGAGGGGTGGAGGGTTTGTGGGGGTGGCGTTGGTCCTTGGTGCACGCTGTGACTTTCACCACGGGCGCTTTGCAAACACAGTGAAGTCCCCATTACCCCTGAACCTGCCCCTGCTGAGGGCTGGCCAGGGCATGGACCCTCCGGGGTGCTCACCTGCCTTTCGGCCCCCAGCCCCTGCCCTGGCACTGGAAATCCACAGACTTGGAGTTTGATAGAAAAGGACCTTGACGATGTGCTAAGAAGTGCACGGCAAAATCGTCTGGGAATTTAGAAGATTGGCATAGGAACCTGGGAAATTAATTTAAAAACATCACAGGGGACAGGTTAGCCAAACTGGATGGCAGCAACCTGCAACACTCGAGTGTCAAATTTGCAGCCTGAGAAAGTGGCCGTGTATCCTCATAGACGCCTTTTGTGCCGTCAGTTGTCCCCGGTGCTGCTGTCACGTCGCGGTTGTCATTATTTCATTTTTGCCAAGGAGGCGCTGACTGCCGCTGTTTGCCTCGCATCGGAAGGACACGGAGCCTCCTACAGTCGTTCGGCTGCATTGTCAGGGGCATCATTTTTCTGTCATCGAAGACATCGCCGCTGTGCCTTTGGGCTGCCTTGCTTTTCACACTGTCTGTGCCACCCCTGTGAAGAGGTGACACCCAGGGACTTAAGGAGCTGAAAGGATTCAGTAGAGAGCGGCAGAGGCGATTAAAGACTGGGGAAATAGGACCCATGGAGGAAGATTAAAGGATCTGTGATGATTTAGCCTGGAGAAGCGGAGCCGACCTAATAACCATCTTCAGGACGGTGAAGGGTTATTATGTGGAGGGTGGGGACCAGCTGTTCCCTCTCCACGCGGAGGCTAAGGAAAGAGGAAATGGGCTTAGGCCTCAATAGCAAGGGTTTAGTTGAGATGGAGAGCTTCCTTCCAGCCAGGGCCGCCAGCCACTAGAGCCCTGGCCAGGGTTCAGCCGCTCAATCCCTGGAGAGGCGCCCATCTCATCAGCCATCCGTGGGGCGCACCGCAGGACCCCGCCGAGCGAGCGCGGCTGCAGCTCCGTGGCAGCGCGGCCCTGGGGTTGTCCTGCAGGGTCTACCGCTACTGTTCTGGAAAGACCCCAGGAAGTTTGGCTAAGAAGGGTGGGAACTGCAGGCCAAGGTGCGATGGAGAGCAGGCCCTGCTGGGAGCGAGCAGAGGCTGTGGCACTGTGCAGCCTCCGCACCGCGTAGGTCGTTCTGAGAGCAGCGGCAGAAGAATGGGGAGAGGAAGGAGAAAAAGGCCCAGCCGCAGCCTGGAGCTCAGTGCCTGGCAGTGTAACGTTGCTGTCTCTAAACAGCGTGTGCAGTGGGGGTCTTTGTGTGCTCAGTAGGAAGAAAAGAAGAGCGGGAACTGGAGAGGTGCTTTCCCCTCCAAGTATTGTAAATCGCTGTAATCAGCACCATCTAACCAGCAGCCTGGTGGGCCTTTCCTAGCTCAGACA